GAAAAAGTGGATAGAGAGTAGTCGAACCAGTATCAAGCCCACAGTTCAGGAATTCCTTGCATTTTTGGATTTGCGATGTGAGGAGATAGAGCTTTCGCAACGTAAGTCTTCAACGTCGTAAACCAAACCGTCTGCTGGAGGTAAGTTACATGCTTCCCAGAATTTGGTTGCTGTCAACAATCAACAGAAGTGCCACAGTTGCAACTCAGCAGAACACACGTTAACCAAGAGTCCACAATTTGTATCACTCTCCATTGTTGAAAGACGCTCATTTGTTAGAATCAAGTCATGTTTTAATTGTTTAAAATGTGGCCACGATGCGTATAAGTGCAAATCATCATTTCGTTGTAAGGTCTGTAATCGGCGACATCATACGCTTGTTCATCAGCAGTCTGCTGAAGCTACATCGGACAATAAGTCAGCTTCAGCACCACCCGTTCCAGAAGCGGGTTCTCTAAACTCAGTTGCTAAAACCATGAATCTTTCGCATATTGGTGGCTGTCCAAGCCAATACATGCATACATCGCTCTTGCCAACTGTGGTAGCTGAGGCTCGTAATGCTAAAGGTAATTTTGTCGAATGCAGTATATTGATCGACTATGCATCCGAACTGTCTTACGCCACTGAAAAATGTATTCAACACCTGCGCATTTCCCGGACGCCATCGCGTATTGTGATCTGTGGAATATCATCTGTGAAGGCTGATACTACACGCGGCTGTGGTATGTTGTCGTTGAAGTCACGAGTCTCGCAGCATATCTTAACTGCGAAAGTTCATATTTTAAAGCAAATCACTACACTGAAGCTGAACTAACTGCCGTTCGAGATCAACTAGTCCAGTTGCTGTCATGTGCTAAGTCCATCGCTGAGGAGTGCAGCGGTGTTTGCGATCCGAGTTTCTTGACACAATCGGGTGATGGATCGACAAAGGTTTTGGGCATATACTGGAATACCAACGTCGACACAATCAGGTAAACGGTAAATTTGAATTCACACATCAATGCTACAAAACGACATGTTCTTTCCGATGCGGCAAAAATATTTGATCCCTTGGGACTTGTAGCTCCAGTCGTTATACAATTCAAGATTCAATTTCAAGAGCTGTGGCTACAGAACCTGAGTTGGGATGACGAACTACCTAATAATCTTGCAAATCTATGGTTTAAGTACAGGCAGGATTTGTACGATCTTTCTAACCTAGTAATTAATCGATACGTCTGCAACTCTACAAGCGTTATTGAGTTGCATGGGTTTTCCGATGCGTCTACAAAGGCTTACGCAGCAGTGGTTTATTGTCGCTGCAAAGACAAAGATGGAAAGCTACATACGTCAATTATCGCCGCGAAGACTCGGGTCTCATCAATAAAGCAAATTTCTTTACCGAGGTTGGAGCTATGTGGCGCAGTGCTACTAACACGCCTGATGAGATCTGTTGTGGAGTCTTTCGCAGGTAAAAAGTTTAGTTTAAACGCATGGTGTGATTCAACTGTGGTGCTCTCTTGGCTCTCAATACATCCAATCAAACATTTGTCGCAAATCGTACATCGGAGATACTAAGCACCTTACCGCGCAGCTGTTGGAGACACGTATCTTCAAAAGGATAACCCTGGAGATTGCGCATCTCGTGGAATGACAGCTGACAATCTCTTAAAACACGATTTGTGGTGGCAAGGGCCAACATGGCT